TTCAGGACTTTCAACGCTGAACAACAACGACTCTACGAGAAATTACGACTCGCATATGATGGCTATTACCATAATCCCACCATGCTGGTGACCATGAACCGCGTAAAAACACAAATGCTCACGTTGCAGTGGCAGTTTGCGCAAAACTTCATCCGCATCAACGAGACGTTTATAACCGGCGAAAGCATATCCACTTTCTAGTTGGATAATAGACGACGTAAAAAACAACTACAACAGGACTACAAAACGAACGAGGAGAGCAAATACAAGGCTCTCTGAAGATCGAGCAACACATGTTTCGATACTTCAGGGTTCTGTATGCGGCGGACGAGACGAGGCAGGTGGGGGAAGAAATGTTCGAAACTGAGAGAGCCGTACCCGAGAACGGCGAAGCCAACGCAGCTCTAAAGCAGGGTTTAGACTAGGCAAGTCAAATGATCAACTCAGTTGAATTCAATTGGCTTGAAAAGTTGAGCCTGGTTCAACTTTTTTCAATTCAAGTGAGTTGATCAAGTCAGTTGAATGGCATGGTTTACACGTTCAATTCGCGTTCAAGTCAGTTGAATTCAATTGACTTGCCCTGTCTAAACCCAGCTTAATGGCAGAGATCAGCATTGACGAGTTGAAAAACTCCATAAAAACTCTAGATGGAGAGCTCTACTTCGTTATTAATGAAGCTATGACGAATGAGCTCCCACCTGAATTCGCCGATGGCACTATTGTGTTGGTTAAAAAGCGAGGTGGGGATGGGACAGCAAGAGCATACCGTCCGATCAGCCTGCTCTACGTCGATTTTAAAATCCTCTCCCGCGTGATGAATGCCCGCCTGGAACGAGGACTGCGGATCCATCGAGTCCTGAGCGACTCTCAAAAATGCGCAAATATCGACCCTTCTATTTTCCAAGCTACACTCTCGCTCAAAGATCGTATTGCGCAGCTAATCGCGAGGAAGCAGAAGGGGAAGTTGATCTCGTTCGATCTTGACCACGCGTTCGATCGGGTCTCTCATGAGTTCCTGCATCGGACCCTGCTCTCCCTGGGCTTCGAACAGGGTTTCGTCTACTGGCTCTCTCGAGTCGCTGCTGCCTCTTCATCACGGCTGCTAGTGAATGGGTGCCTCTCAAAGCCGTTCCGTTTTTTTGTTTTTTTTTTTATTAATCAGAGGAATCTGCTCCCAGACACCTGAGAAGATAACTCAGGGTGTGGGGATGGAAGAAGTAGCGCTCCCGACCCACTAAACCTTAAAGGGTGTCCACGATGAAATTGCCACACACAAAATTGATTCGCAAAATTCGAGTTTTCATCCGATTGCCATCAAATTTTCAGGGATTGAGAAATAACTATTAAACTTCATTTTACCATTTTACTCGTATTTTATTTACAGTCCATACGCAAATGCCCGCACCTTGGCCTTAACCCCGGCCATAAGATTCTGCACAACCTGTGAATCAACCGTTTTTTGCATGTAAACCCATACTTTCTTCAGTTCCTCGACTGTCTTCACTACCTTAGGTCGTTTAAGAAGGTGCTGCTTCATAATCGCCCAGTACTTCTCGATGGGGCGGAGCTCCGGAGTGTTGGGAGGGTTGAACATTTTCGGCACGAAATTGACCTTATTGTCCGCATACCACTTCAGCACGTCCTTGGAGTAGTGGCATGAGGCCAAATCCGGCCAGAAGATTGTTGGGACGTTGTGGGCCTTCAGGAGAGGAAGCAGCCGCTTCTGGAGGCACTCTTTTATGTACACCTGTCCGTTCATCGTGTCCTGGGTCACGAAAGGTGCACTCCGCTTCCCGCACGTGCAGATGGCTTGCCAAACCAGGAATTTCTTCGCAAATTTGGACATCTTCTGAGTGCGGACATGCTCCGGAACGCTGAACTTATCCTTGGCCGTGAAAAACAGGTTGCCGGGGATCTGTTTGAAGTCGGCCTTCACATATGTTTCGTCGTCCATGATGCAGCATTCAACTTTCGTCAGCATGTTGAGGTACAACTTCCTGGCACGGGTTTTGGCGGACTTGTTCTGCTTCTCGTCGCGATTAGGGGCTTTTTGTACCTTGGACGTTCGAAGCCCAGCCTTAGTTTTGGCCTTCTGGACAAAACTTCGGCTTAGGTGCAGCTTCTTAGCCACATCCCTAACGGAGGCGTTCGGATTTCGGTTGAAGGCCCCAACTACGCGGTTGTGATTTTTGGTGTTGTACGGAATACTTTTTCCTTCACTTCTGGGCTTCCGATCGGTGGTCAACCGTTCCTCGAACCGCTTAATCACTCGCGACACCGTGGAATTCGCGATTCCCAACGTTTTAGCGATGGAACGATGCGAGAGATCCTTGTTCTCGTGATGAATGCGCAAGATTTTATCACGCACGAGCTGTTCTTTCGACTCCATTTCCACGAGTTTTGATCACAGGACTTTAAAACTTGCAGGATGTAAATAATGCACTATGAACTAAATCCACCCAAATTTTCATTAAATTCTACCCAACGGTTAAAAAGTTAGAGCAATTTCATAGTGTGGCAATTTCATCGTGGACACCCTTTACCCTGTGCTCTTGGCCCTTGCCCTCCCCAGAACCGCCCGAAAGCATTACATCATGGGAGGGAGCCGGTTGCGCTATGGCGCATCATACTAGTCGTGTGTCACAGACGTGACACTCGCTACTGCACAGTGAGCAGCTTTGCAGGGCCTTCCTCTTATTGTTCGCTGTTGATTGTTCGCCTGAGTTCTAGAGCAGACGTGATAGCCAGCCAACTGTCCACGGCAGCACAGGACAGATGTGACAGCTTACCAGCTGCGTGTGCTGCGACTTGGTCAGAGTCGTCTACACTCTAAGAACCCGGTGTCACTCCTGCCTTTGCACAACGAGGGTTTGTGCAGGGCTTATCGACCTCCTGGGACGAGCTGAATGGGGCTCCAGCGTCCTTACTCTGCAGTAGTTCGTTTAGCCGCAATATCTCTCCCTTGGGTTCGATAATTAACGTTTCCAGGGCACACCACAAGGAGGCGAACTACTTCATGCCGTTCCGTATAGAACGGTCCGTATGTCAGGGAGACCCGATGTCGATGCTGCTGTTCGTGCTCTATCTTCATCCCCTCCTCACACGGGTGGAGCGTGTGTGCGCTGGTGACCCTTGCGTTGCGTATGCTGATGACATCACGGTGATTGCCACCTCAAAACACACGATCGACAGTATTTATCAGCTGTTTGGTAGTTTCGAGATCGTATCCGCAAAACTAAATCGGCTGAAAACAGTGGCGATCGATGTTGGTTTCATCTAAGAGGATCCACTGACGATACCAGGGCTGTAGACAAAGGAGAATGTCAAGGTACTGGGCGTTATTTTCACCAACTCAGTGCGAATGATGGTAAAATTAAACTGGGACGCTTTAGTATCCAGGATCTCGCAACTCATATGGTTGCGTAACATGCGCTCCCTTTCCCTACAGCAGAAAGTGCGACTGCTGAACATCTTCATCACAGCGAAGGTGTGGTACCTCTCGTCTGTTATTCCACCGCAATGAGCTCACACGGCGAAGCTGACATCAACTATGGGGACTTTCCTTTTTCGTGGGCTACCCACACGAATCCCAATGCAGCAGTTGGTGCGCGGCAGATAGCAGGGTGGATTGGAACTGCAACTGCCGGCGATCAAATGTAAAGCACTTCTAGTCAATCGTCACCTGCAGGAGATCGTTTCCCTTCCCTATTATCAGTCCCTTCTCGCCCAAAATATTCCTCCCCCCGCCGATCTTCCTTGCCTTAAACTTGTCTCACAGTAAATTCCCTTATTTCTACACCATATTCAACAAAACCCCTCCAGCGATCAAATCCATCGTTTCTACTTGGAACAAACTGAGCTATCCAGAGTGGAACGAAACCATCCAGGCATCAATTGGAAAAAGATCTGGATGAACATATCATCGAGAAGGCTATCGTCGAACCAGCGTACTGATCTCTACTTGATAGTGAACGAGAACGTCACCCAAACTGTCAGCACTGTGCGGTAGAAATCGAAACTTTGCAACATAAGTTTTGCGAGTGCCCTCGAGTTGCTGCAGCTTGGGCACACATCCAGCGAAAATTGACGACGACGCTCGGCGGCTGGCAGAGGCTGAGCTTCGACGATCTTGTACGGACAATCTTGGGTAACATGACAACAGCGAGAAGAAGTTATATTTTAAAAACGTTCATTAAGTACATCAACTTTGTCAATGTGAATATTAATAGTAGAATCGATGTAGGCGAGCTAGATTTAATTTTAAGTCTAGAAGATTGATATACTTTTTAAATAATTTGAATATGTTATTAATTTCAAGACCTGAATAAACAATATTAAAAAAAAAATAACATAAAGGAAACTTGCGTGAAATCGTTTTAATTTTATTTTTTAAAGATGCTTTATCGACACTATCGGGTTTGAAATATTTTTTTATGAGGTGTGCTTCAATTGTTTCAAATGAAAGGAAATTTACCCAATTTTTGTTGTGTTCTACATAGAAATTCTAATTAAATGCGGAGACTATTTCAAGTATACACCAGAGAAAACCCATCTAAAAACGAACACTGCGAAAATTGTGTAGAAAATTAGGTTAAATAATTCAAAGAGTCAAAGAGAAGCAATGGAATTAAATTTAAGCAAATTCTCGCAGGAATTAAAAAAAAACTAGATGAAAATTATGAAATGAGTGCCAAGATTTCTTTGAAATCCTAGAATACTGAGAATATATTTTTTGGTTGTTAGACTAGGTGGAAAACCCAGCGACAATTCATGTATTGAATTATATTTAATTTCTTCTGGACATTACCAACTTGATAATTACGGATTCCCAATGAGTCACCATCAATAAATATTAAGCCCAACCTCAAACGTCCCAATCTATACCAGATTCAAGGGTATTTTTCAAACCGTCAGTTTTATCAGAACTCAAGTACCTACCGTATTCTTATCATAACTCGATATAAATACCGCTCTCGTCTTTACCAGCGAGTTCAGTTTGTTTCTCTGGTGCTCTCAATACGAATACTAACGACCGAAGATAATTTGTGAATATGAAAGTTCTACTGCTGCTCTGCCTGGTTGCGACCAGCGCTCTGGTTCTGGCCAAACCTCTCGACACATCCGATTCCTTGGGATATGTCGATGAGAACTCTCTCGCCACCGAAGTGGCTTCCGATGACCAGAATTCTGACTTGGTGAAGGAATCCGACGTTGTAGCAGACGAACAACAGGACGAGGAAGTGGATCAAGATGCTGAGGAAAATTCAGATGATTCGGATGATTCGGGCAGTGATGGTGAAGATGCAGAGGAAGAAGCTGATGATGCGGATGATTCGGAGAGTGATGGTGAAGATCAAGTTGCCGAGGAAGAAACTGATGGCAGTGAAGACGATGCGGGCCAGGCACCGGAAGTTGATGACGCTCAAGATGAGGCATCCGAAGACGCGGAAGAGGAGGATTCCCAGGTATGTTTTTAAAATAAAATTTTGCAGTTGGTGATTTCTTCAAATCGTAATGTAACTGTTGACAGGATTCCGAAAACGAACCTGAAAACCGTCCCCCACAGGACGCCCAGCCGCCACAGGATTCAGAAGCATCCGATCCTGAACAACCAAAACAGGAAGAACGACCATCACAAGATCACCAAGAACATGAAAATGAAAACGATGATGTAGTGCCGCAGCCTCCCCAAAAAGAACATGAACAACAACCATGCATTCTTCCTCCCCATGGTAACCAAGATCAGCCGCCACCGGCCCATAACAGTGGCGAAGATCATGAACAACAGGAGAATGGTGGCCAGTCACCATCCGAAGATGGTGAAAGCCAAGATCATCATGACCATTCCGAACCAGAGGACAACCATCATAATAGTGACAAGGAACATCAACAAGATCCGACTGAAGAGCAGAACAATCATGACCATCATGACCACCACGGACCCCACCACGATCACCACCACGGCCACCACAATAATAATCATGGAAAGCCAGGACAGCAAGGTCCACAGCAGGAACCTCAAGATCAAGAACAACAGCAAGAATCGCAAGAACAGCGTCCTCCACAGGAGCCTCAAAACCCTGGACAGGGAAATCAAGGACAACGTCCCCCGCAAGACCCTCAAAATCCCGGACAGGGAGAACAACTGCCATCATCTCCAGCTCCACAAAGCCGACCAGGTCCTAAAGTGGTCAACGTCAATATTCGCGTAAGTCAGTAAAGTTGGATTTTTGCTATGTAGCACGTGAAAATGTGTACGGAAAAGCGTTTTGAATAAACTGAATGATGAGCCTAATCGGTCACAGAATTATTATGTTTAATATTAATGAATGCTACGAATCATCACAAATCCACCAATGGGGTACATGCGACTGAACAACTTTACCCTTTCAAATGAATTTAGTTTTGCTTACGGTGAATCTGTACATGCTTCAGGATGTTGAAACATTTGGCAACACCAGGGGCAACGACACTCATTTGGATGCATTTTTTCACTCTAATCATTACTTGGGATCAGGGTTGCTTCCACTCACTTGCTATAAAAACATATTTTTTGGAATTATGCAATCATTAGATGCAGGGTTACTTCCACTCACTTGCTATAAAAAATGTTTTTCAGAATTATGAAATCACGAGATGGTATAGTGATAATTAGAACTTGTAAGCTACAAGAAGAGGTTGTGAAGTATGTGTTTGACACACAAAATCTGTCAATATTGCTTTCAGTGCGCCACAATCAGCAGTTTTACGATTCGTGAGCGCTCACTCTGAGTGAACGCTCACGAATCATAAGATCGCTTATTGTGACGCTCTGAAAGCGAAATTGACAGGTTTATGAGTCAAACACATACTTTACACCTTCTTCTCGATACTTACAAGTACAACATATCATTATATCATCTAATGATTGCATAATTCAAAAAAATATGTTTTTATAGCAAGTGAGTGGAAGCAACCCTGATTAGATGATATAATGATATGTTGTACTTGTAAGTATCGAGAAGAGGGTGTAAAGTATGTGTTTGACTCATAAACCTGTCAATTTCGTCTGATCGTCTGATCGCGAAGAGGTCTGGAGTCTGGAGTGCATTTTGAATTGGTCGTATTAGCATTTGCCGCATTACATATGATGTAGGTTTACCTTACACAAAAATCCATGATTTTATTAATCTTTCTGACGAAATAGTACGGCATGTATCAGGGTACCTTGAGGCAGAAACTGTGAATTTTCATCCCTAAACAAATTAAAAAAATATATTTCATACATTTCTTTTAAAAAACTGGTTTTATTTTTATGAAAATTCGAAGCAACGTATCCTTAATCCAAATTAAAAGCAGGATTTGAAGTAAAAACCGAGTACTACCCAAGTGAACCGAATTCCGTAATTATAACAGATGGGTCGGTTCGTTTGACAGCGTTCGGTAATTCTTGAGTAAACCGACGTTCGGTTATTTCTGCTTAAATTTATTTTTCGTCAACCGAGATTTTCGGTAACTTTGACAGATTGTGGGTATCAAAATGAACTAACGACATCTCGGTTATTCCTCTTTGAACCGAACAGACTACCGAGCGTTCAGCAGATAAAAACTCGGTTGACCTCAAACCGAGTTCGGTAATATTTTCTAAGTGTGTACGATACCAATTCCACGACAAATCGGTCAGTCACCAAACTTGACTATCTTCGATCTGGATGATACTTGGCACATATTGTCAGTATGATAGACCAAGTATTTTCCGCAGGAGAGGAAACCCTTTTGACTCAAGGGTAATTTTTGAAAAGGGCCTATGTGTTTTTGCACACATACTTTAAAAAAAATGTAGTTCGAAAACAGTTGGTTGTAGAAAAAATTTACTAAGAAGGAGTTGTAGGAAACTAATAAGGCTTTATTAAAAAATATACACGGATTTTTTTTTCGTTTTTTTTTACAAAAAAAAATTAAAAATAAACCTCTAAATTCAAATATCAAAAAAAAACGTATATTTGATTTTTTTAATATTTTTTTAATAAAAACTTGAATAGAAAGCAGAAGTTTTGAAAACCAACTCCAGGATGGACAAACTTTTAATAAAAAAGTTTTTCTAAGAGCAACTTTTAAGGCATTTTTGAAACTTTCATTATTTACGGCAAAATGTTCAGTTTGATGTCAGTATATGATTATAAACATCATTGCTTATATCGATAAACTTCCTAAATGTAACCGTTTTCGAGATATTTCAAATTTACTTTCATCATAATCAATTTTTTGTAGAAAATATGCCCTTTTCGTAAGTTATACGTGATTGTCCATCAAATATGATAAGTTTTGCAAGATATGCATGTACTTACCTTCAATTTGTCTTTTGACGATCACGATCACGGTTTTTTCGAAAACAAACGAACTGAGATAGGGGAAAAGTTGGCTTCGGCAATACCTTAACCTATTATCGTCAGGAGGGTAAACAACGTCCTTGAGAGCTCAATTTTGGCATGTGGATACATTGTGTTTCAGAGCAACTATTGACCAAATTTGAGTGCTCTAGGACTTTGTTTACCCCCTGACGATAATAGGTTAAGGTATTGCCGAAGCCAACTTTTCCCCTATATGAATGAATTTGGGGTCGTGACATAAACATGGACTTGGATGGCCATTGGACGGAAGATCCGGAAGATCCGTAAAAGTAGTTCATCCATGAAACTGTGAAAAAACGCATTTTTTCGAAAACTCTTGGAATTGTGATATAAGATGGAATTTAGGATCGTGACATAAACATGAACCCGGATGGCCATGGGACTTCCAAAAGATCCGGAACAACCATAAATTGGTAAATCTGTGAAACTGATTCTAGAGCTCTGCAGCTCATTTTTAAACATTTTGATCCTAAACATCCGTAAGAGTGGTAAATCCATCCCAAGTAACATTGCAGGTTTTATCGAGGTTTTATAGCATTCTAAAAGTCTAAATCATGGTCTACAGAACCCTCATAAAACCAAAATTGTTACTTAGCGGCGCCGGTGGTGTAGGGGTAAGCGTGATTACCTCTCACCCCAGCAGGCCTGGGTTCAATCCCAGTCAGCGCCGGCGGGATGTTCTGAGGCATAACATCTCTGATCACGTCTTCCTTCGGAAGGGAAGTAAAGCCGTTGGTTCCCGGTTCATGATTTGATGGGTCGATAGGTAGGGTCCAGGTGTGGGAGCTGCCTTCCTGGCGCGTCGGTAGCATTGGTGCTCAGCACGGAAAATAAGATCGACGAAAAACAAACCAAAGGAAAAAAAAAATGAACAAAAACCGGAGTTTTCCCGGAAAATTTTAGATGCAGGTTTTGGATTTTCCCACTCCGAAATTGGTTTGCCCTGATTTTCATTGAGATTTTCCTCTACCGCGAACAAATTCGTGGAAAACTTTTTACAGATTATATTTTTTTATTGATTGTCGAGATAATGTCCTCCTCATTTCACTACAGAACGTTTTTCCTACGATGCTTGGTTCATGAGAGATGAATTTTCAAAGTACGTGATGTTCGGGAAAATCCTCTCAATTTTTTTTTTAATTTGTTTTCGTTCATCTAATCAAAAACACTACCTGTGGGTTAAACTTCATCAAGCTCTGAGTCCCATTTTGTCCTATAATCTTAAACAAATCCCTTTATGTCAATCAAACTAATAACATATTGTGATGTTCTGATATTCATTTTAATAGTAAAATTTGTTATCAGTTTGATATTCTCTTCTACTCGGAATCTGGCACTTGATAAACAATAAAATGGGTCAAGCAAATAAATAACTCAAATTTTTAAGCAAATTTGAACGTTTGAAGCAAGAACGATAAAAACCGTTTTAGCCTAAGAAAGTGAACCGGCTCTTCTCTAACAATGTAACAAGTACAAGCTTTGAAGTGCTAACACGACAAAACACTTAAAATCCATTTGAAATATGTACTGGCGAAAAGTGCTTTTGATGATCTATACAAGTAACTAGTAAACATCAAGAGTTCTCGGAGATTACGGTATGGTATAAAATCCACTCCCACTGTACCGATCCATCAGTCTTCATTTCAATAACCGGTACTGCCAACAAACTCACTATGAAAGTTCTCCTACTGTTGTTGCTGGCTTCAGCCAGTACGGTTTTTGGCAAATCTTTAGCGGCTTCCAATCTACTGCTCGCGGACGAGGGCACTGCAAATTTTGACATCGATCAGTCGAATTTTGATTTAAGGTTTTCAAGGACCCCGAACGATCATGATGAATTGGACGACAATGGTTCGGAACTATACCAATACACGATCGAAGAATCTAGCGAAGCTGATTTGGCTGTGTTCCCTGAGACTGAAGAAGATCAATCATCGAATTATGACCACGGAGAACAGGTGAGTTTTTGTTTTGATTGGATAGACATTGGGGAAATGGCTCTAATGTTGCTCTATGGATCTAAGATTGGGCCCATCGCTAAAAATCAGCTATTTATCAATTTAATACTAATGGATATTTTTGGTCGCTATTGAAAATTTAGTCGATTTCTGAATTTAAGTATGGGCCCGAAATAGGGGCATTTAGGCATACATTACATCCATTTCCCCTATATATTTTTTAATGCAAACATATTTCAGGATGAGCATTTTCAATCAAGCGACGAATGGCTTCAACGTATGAATGACGATTACGATTGGAATGTTGAGAATCGGTTAAGAGATTCGGGAGAACAAGGCCACTATAATAGATACGAATATCCCCGTTATGACTACAACCCACTCAAGTGGCCCGCTCAAGAAGACCCAATAGTCGTTCAACCCATCGTCATTCCTGTGCAATTTACTTTCGGTCAACAGGATTACTTTCGACGTCGTTTTATGTACTAACCGGTTTGATTTCATTTGAAAGTTGGTAATTATATTGATGAAAAAAAAATCTATCACTTAAATTTGATGATTGCGTACAGCTGAAAATAAATAAATTAAATTTGCAATTACATCCGACAGCTCGTCATGATGGTTTTGGAAAATCGACTAAACCATAACCGAAACCCTTCTGGAAAAATAGCTAATTCAATGTGATGTGGGGTAATTTTGAACTGATGATTTGTGAGCTAAAGGTCGAATTCCGATAATGGCAAACATTTACGGAACCATGATACTTCTCCAACTACCCTGAATGAAATTTTCTTAGGATGAAGGGGAAATTGGGTCATGAAATTTTATTTTATTTTTTAAAAGAATTTTCACGTGATTTAATTTGGCTTTATTTGTTATCTTAATAAGTGATTTGACTGTCTATTTACGACCATGCTGTTAGTTTGTGGGAGTGAACTAGCAGACGAGTAGCTAACTTACTATATCTGGGCCCATTTTAATAAATTCCTCACCGATACCATCCTTACTAGTTGACTTGTTGATATTTAGCTGCTTAGTTGGCATTACTCTCTTCCCTTGTCCGCCGTGCCGGTGAAGTTAGTCCTCCTACTACATGGCTCTCTGTCTCTGTTTAATTGGGGTGTTATGCTTCTTCCATCTTTCCACCTCACGTTCGTCCGTCAAGATACCTCCATCCTTATCGCGACACATTTCGGTTCGTGGCACAAAGCCTTTGCGGGAGGCTTTGAGACTCATGCAGAACTTAAGCGTCTTTTGCCCCGTAACGTGGGTAGATCACCTTTTCGTGGTACGTTACGGGATGTAAGATCTACCACCGATTCCTAGTCTTGACTACTTCAAACTAGGGGAACAGGATTTTTCAGTAATCAAAGGAACACATTTTAGCCCATTTTACTTTTTATGCCTTGTTGATAGTGACAAGACTCGGCTTTGTCTACCGAGGATGATCTTGATACAAGGGAAAAATGAGTTTTTGTAATCAAAGGAACACATCTTAGTCCTTTTTTTAAAATTTTTGATGTCTTGTTGATAGTGACAAGACTCGGCTTTGTCCACCGAGGATAATTTTGAAACAAGGAAGAAATGAGTTAGGTAGTTATTTTTTATCTACGTGATCCCCAATTTTGTATTCGCTGTTCTCTAGTTTGAAGTGGCTAAGACTAGGGTTCTGATGCATGGTCATTATCGGTGTCATTGCTTGTTTTTGTTGCTAAGGAATCCAATTTTGACTGACAAAGGGCGCGCCTTTGGAAGGTGTTTCAACACTCCGAAGGGCAGGGTGCCTTCCATTCATTTTGACTAAAAAAATGTTTTATGAAATTATGAAACAATAAGATATTATGATGATATTTTGTATGTGTAAGTAATAAGAAAAGACTGTAAAGTTTGTGTTCCACACATCAAACCTGCAAATTTAGCTTTGACAGAGTCACAATGAGCGTTTTTCTGATCGCCTCTTCGCGAAGAATGAAGAGCGAAGAGTGGGTGAGAAAAATTAAAAAATCGCTTATGGCGACTCTCATGAAGCAAAATTGGCAGGTATTATGTGTCAAACACAAACTTAACAATCTTTTCTTGTTATTTACATAATCAAAATATTTTCATAATATCTCATTATTCCATAGTTTCTTAAAACATTTTTTTAGTCAAAATGAATGGAAGGCACCCTGCCGAAGGGTATAAACAGCGGGACCTTCAAAATTAGAACCGATTCCTTGCGATCAAGACAAGAATGAAAACTGTATCAAAACCGAATACTTCATCATTTATCAATAGTGAAGGAGTAATACGACATGCACTAAACTAAGGACACGGGATATACTACAATAGATCAAATTACTGGTCGCAGTGGTTTTATGCCCCGAACAAAAAAAAAACGTCTTTTGAGAACGATACAGATGCTGTTCCATTTCTTCGTGCTCCAACTCTTTCGGCCGCGCTTCTTGACAGGGTGACCAGCAAACCGGGATATTTTCCTATTGTGAATCGTTCAACTAACAAATCTCCAGATTGCTACAAATCTTTCATTTCAGTTCGTAAGACGAAGTTTATTTTTTTTTAAATTCATCAACCTTAACCTGAAATTATTTTAAAATTCAGTTAACAATTCATATTTTTATAAAACTCATAATTTTAAGAAATTATAGACTGATTAAATACAAAAATTTTACTTGATCAATTTGAAAATGCAGTGATATTATAAAATACGACCGTATACTTCGTTTACTCTTAGTATATATATTTTATTGAACCATTCCAGGTTAAACTTCAACTCCAACTCTTCTTAATTACAACATCAAACATTTACTGACCTATATTGATATTGATGTTAACCTCTTCTGGAGCTGATCCACTTGGCTGTGCTGATCCCGATTGAGGTGGTCCCTGTGGTTGACCTCCTTGTCCTGATGGCCCCTGTTGGGGACCTTGTGGTCCTTGTCCAGGATGTTGCGGTCCTTGTCCAGGGTTTTGCTGTCCTTGGCCTGGGTTTTGAGGTCCCTGGGGTGGACGCTGTCCTTGTGGTCCTTGAGGAGGGCGCTGGGAATCTTGTCCTTGTGGTCCTTGTTCCGGGTTTTGGGAACCTTGTGGTCCTTGAGGAGGGCGCTGGGAATCTTGTCCCTGCTGTCCTTGTCCTAAGTTTTGAGGTCCCTGGGGTGGACGCTGTCCTTGTTGTTCTTGTCCAGGATTTTGAGGTCCCTGTGGAGGGCGCTGTCCTTGTGGCCCTTGTGATTCTTGAGGAGGGCGCTGGAAATCTTGTCCTTGTGGTCCTTGTTCCGGGTTCCGAGGTCCTTGTGGAGAACGCTGTCCTTGTGGTCCTTGTCCAGGGTTTTGAGGGCCCTGTGGAGGACGCTGTCCTTGTGGACCTTGCTGAGGCTGTTGTGATCCCTGTGGAGGACGTTGCTCTTCGGATTCATACCCAGAGTTTTGCGATCCCTGTGGTGGACGTTGTCCCTGAGGTCCTTGTCCAGGATTTTGATGTACCTGAGGTGGACGTTGTTCCTGTGATCCTTGGTGTCCTGAGCTTCCCTGATGATTATGATGATGCTCTTTCTGACCATCACTTCCTTGTTCCTGATTGTCACCGCTATGATGGTGTTGATGGAAGTGATGACGACTTCCATCATCTTGGGAAGATGGTCTGTCTTCGTGTTGTTGATCTGAATGATCTAAACTATCCTTTGGGTGTTCACCATGTTCTGAAGGTGCTTCATGTGATGGACGTTCGTTTTGGGAAGGTTCCTGAGCATGTTCGCTTTTATTGTCTTGATGATTTTGCTCTGGTTGTGATGGACGGGGTGCTTCTGAATCTTGCGGGGGTCGAGGATCTTGCATTGGATGATCTTCTGATTCGAAATCCTGTAAATGAAGATTGAATTATACACAATATTAGAAAAGTAAAGCAATGGATTTTTGTTATTTCAAAGTCATACCTCATCAAATTCCTCATCTTGGTTGAAATCCGCTTCCTCTGATGCTGCCTTCACCTCGTCAGGGTTCTGACCGTCGTGAGAAACCACTTCGTCACCGGCGGATTGCAAGAGATCGGGTGTGTCGAGAGGTTTGGCAAGAACTATAGCACTGGTCAAAACCAGGCAAAGAAGAAGCAGAACTTTCATGATGCACGTTACTTTCGGTCGTAATTGTTACGATATGACGATCTTAGGATACTGAATTCTTCGGTGGACCGATTGTAGTATATATATCAAAGTGTGATGAGCTAACGGTACTTCATGCAAGTGGCGCGGGAAACCCGTTGTGTCTGAGAGTCTAGTTTGGAAATTCTAGCGACGATTCAGCAGAGTGCCATTGTTGACATTTGTTATCTACGGTCACACGTTTCAGTGAGTGGGCGCCACGCGTAAAGGAAAGTTTTCATCATAAATTGATAACAGAATTGAAATAATCGACTTGTCGTTATTTAACTTTAGGTAGATAGTAATGTTTATATCGAGAGGAAAATCTATTAAAAACACCTCCTTCTATCAGTCCTCTAGCTTGAATTGGGTTTTTAAGGGTATTGAGGTAAATGCATATTCGTCATCTGCATCAAAAATGGAACCGAAATCCTAAATTTCATAAATTGTGGTGCACTGGAACTATATTAAATAAGTGCGATTACTTTAGCAAAATCACTTTCTTTGCGCCCCATGGTTGGGCATTTTATAGAAGCAAGCTGTCAATTTGGTAGTTAAGTGTCAAAAAGCGAAGCTATTATTTTGCTTTAAACCAAGATAAAAGTCTATGGGATCGAAAAAATATCGTTGTGCTCAGAAAACGAAGCTCTTTCAGATGATGTATAAAACCGATATATATATTTTTGTAAATTAAAGAACCCAATTGATATTCATATTTTCTAAAGTATCTTGATCAGCCCATGGTTGAGTAAATGTCACTTAGGCTTTTATATGCTTTTTTTTTATTTTGTTTCAATATGAAATTACCTTTGAAGGAATAGTTTGTCAAAACAAAGATAATTTGAAGTTGTTAATGTTCGAGTAATGTGTCTAGGAGATGTCAGATGTCATCATTTTTTTCAATTTTGTATTGCAGGGTCGCATTTCTTAAGATCGATTTTACGTTTTTAAAACCAATGGTAACCTGTTTAATGTGCTTTTTGAAGATATTTTGATTGTTTAGTTTGGTTGGCAGAGTTTGGTTGATTTTTTACTATTATAGAAAATGTGCCAGTTTTTAGCCCTAGTGGCCCTTTAATTGGCACTATCTTAAATTACCATTTTTATCATTATTTATCAAATTCATTTCGATGCCAAAACCATGAAAATTTATTTCAAATTTGAATTAGGCGCTAGGGCCAAAAACTGGAACACTACTGACACACTTACCCTATATTACCAATTTATTATGCTAACTTTTCATTACGCGTGGCCACTTACTGAAAGATGTGACGGTAGATAACAAATGTCAACAATGGCACTCTGCTGAATCGTCGCTAGAATTTTCAAACTATACTCTCAGACACAGCGGGTTTCCCGCGCCACTTGCATCAAGTACCGTTAGCTCGTGACACACTTTAATATAAATACTACAATCGGTCCATCGAAGAATTCAGTATCCTAAGATCGTCCTATCGAAACAATTACGACCGAAAGTAACGTGCATCATGAAAGTTCTGCTTCTGCTCTGCCTGGTTTCGGCCAGTGCTATAGTTCTTGCCAAACCTCTCGATACACCCGATCTCTTGAGATCCGTCGGTGACAAAGTGGTTTCTTACGATGGTCAGAACCCTGACGAGGTGAAGGCAGCATCAGAGGAAGCGGATTTCAACCAAGACGAGGAATTTGATGAGGTATGACTTTGAAATAACAAAAATCAAATCCTTTATTTTTTCAAATATTGTGCATCTTTATTAACAGGATTTTGAATCAGGAGATCATCCAATGCAAGATCCTCGATCCCCGCAAGATTCAGAAGCCCCCCGTCCATCACAACTAGAACATGATCCTCAAGACAATGAAAGCGAACACGATCAGGAACCTTCCCAAAACGAACCTCCATCACATGGAGCGCCCTCTGAACATGGTGAACACCCTTCTCAAAAACCGAAGGATAGCTCAGATCATTCAGATCAACAACACGAAAACAGACCATCTTCTCAAGATGATGGAAGTCGTCATCACTCCCATCAACACCATCATAGCGGTGACAATCAGGAACAAGGAAGTGATGGTCAGAAAGGGTATCATCATAATCATCAGGGAAGCTCAGGACACCAAGGACCACAGGAACCTCAAGCTTCTGAGCATGAGCAACAACAAGATTCTCAGCGCCTTTCACATGGATCACAGGGCCAGAGTCCTCCCCAAGAATCGCATGAACCTCATGTACATCAAAATCCTGACCGAGAACCTCAAGAACAACGTCCACCACAGGGATCGCAAAATCCTGGACAAGGACCACAAGGACCTCAAAACCCGGGACAAGGACAACAGGGACAAGATTCCCAGCGCCCTCCTCAAGGCCCAAAGGGACCCCAAAACCCCGGAAAAGGACCACAAGGACAGGGCCCTCAAAACCACGGACAAGGACCACAGGAACACGGTTCCCTACGTACTCCTCAAGGACCTCAACACCATGGCCATGGACCACATACACAAGGCTCACAGCGTCCGCCTCAAGGACCACAAGGACAGCACCCTCCACAGAATTCTCAAAACCCAGGACAAGGACCACAAGGACAGCGTCCTACACAAGGACCTCAAAATCCGGAATATGGACAAGATTCCCAGCGCTCTCCTCGAGGGCCACAAGGACCCCAAAACCCCGGACAAGAACCACAAGGACAGCGCCCTCCACAAAACCCTGGTCAACAACCTCAACAGGGACCACCTCAACCGGGACAAGCACAGCAAAGTGGACCAGCTCCAGAAGTGGTAAACGTTAATATCAATGTGAACCAATAGAAGCTTAATTTTTGAATACAAAGAGTTGGAGTTGATGTTTTACCTGTCATGAGAAAATAAAATACGTATATTAATAGCAAATGAAGGTCGTACTTTACAATATCACTGCAGTTCCAAATTGATAAAAAATCTTTAACTATTCATGTTTGTATAACTGCAAGCGTGAAGTTAACGATTTACATAGTTGGAGATGCTTAACGTCAAATATCAGATTTAAAGTGGTCATTTTATACGATAGATGAGGAGATGAAAGTATATCATCTCCTTTACCAAACTCCTCTGTTGGGGGAGGGATGGTGAGGGGTAGCCAGTGGTAGTCGGTGGGAGCTAGTAGACTTTTTTGAAATTTTACTCAAAATTACTATAAACAAATACCGTGTATATTTTTCGCATAATTGCTTAACAGCTTTGTGCCACACTTCATTTCGATCAGAAGTGACGTTTTAGTGTTACAATTCAGTGCCAACATTTCAAAGGGGCGTAATTGCATTTGTAAACAATGCCCTTAGCCGTCGTTTCCCCGCGAATTAAAGCTCACTCATGAAAATTATTAACACTTGCAGGTTGATGAATGTTTCCTCTACCAGCTAGCATTGTTGATTTAGAGAGGTGAGCTTTTATTTGCGAGAAATCGACAACTAAACCCATTGTTCACAAAAGCAATTACGCCCGTTTGAAATGTTGGCACTGAATTTATTGAAAACTGTCAAAGACGCCATCTTGAAAAAATACGAGAACCAAAATGGTCGAATTTTTGCATGATTGTATGATTGCCTAGATGATTGCCCATAACAAATAATTTTGCAAAGTTTCATGCGAATCAGAGAAGGTCAAGTAAACATTTTATTTATTATCTATCTGGAAAAAAAAAAATATTCTTGGAACTGGAGAATCGCGAAATACATTCGAAAAGTGTCAAATATTATCAACATTTCAAAAAAATTATCATTCAAACCTCTACATCTCGAAAACGGTGCCACTTAGAAATATATTTATTGTAAATTTGATGTTTTTTGTCCATAATTTTTCCATCATGACCTATAATGCAATAGATGGCATTTTTTTATCCAGGAAAATATATGAAAAAATAAGATTTTGAGAAAAAATATGTTTACCTTTTTTTTTTGATATTGTGAATTTTTTTTAGCGTTTACATATTTTTTCAAACAGTCTCAGCCATTTCCTACAGCATTACTCAACGCACCAAACCGATCGGACAAACAATTTTCCGAAGATAAGCTTAATGTTTTTATAGGCCCTTTAAAAAAAAAGGCTTGATTCAAAATTGCGATTTGAACGAGGGGTTTCTACTACCGTTTATTGCCGGTCAGTGCCAGTCAGATTACCGAAAATTATTCTGATTACTTTTCAATTAATTAAAATTACTTTATTACTTTGCAATTACTTTTATTACTCTCAATTACCGAAATTACTACGATTACTTGAATACTTTTGGGAATTACTTTGGAATTACGCAATTATTCAATGATTAACAACCCGCATAAACGCGAACCATAACTTGACCTTACCGAAAATGGTTAAGAATTGTTTATAATCCCTGCTAAACTTTAACTGAAATGGTTATGGAACTTTACATAAATGGATCTTAACAACCCTTTATTTGTAAGTTTGACTTCTAAAAACCATAATACATAAGGTTAAAACTTTTTGCAAGTGAAACTTACAAATAAAGGGTTGTTAAGATCCATTACCATTCAAAATTCTTGTTTTCTCCATACATTTTCGGAAAGAAAACTATATTATAACCTTTTTACTTATGATTTGAGAACTTTAATGCTAATGGTCATGGTAGGGTCCATAGATGGTTTTGTAACATCGATCAACTTAAGGGAATCAAAGGATTTTTTGACTGGACGAGGGTTAGTGGATTTGCCAGTCCCTTGTCACGTGATTACAGATGGCCATCTGGTCGTTTTGTCTTCCAAAGGTCTTCAATGAAGCTGATTCACCCTGCTGTAACAAACCATCAGGCAGAACTTTACTACCGGTAAAGTATCTGCAGACATTGGTAATCCTTGCACTGATGGTGGGTTCCATTCTCATCACATCACATCACAGTTCCATAACCATTTCAGTTAAGTAGAGATTATAAACAATTTTAAACCATCTTCGGTAAGATCAAGTTATGGTTCGCGTTTATATCGGTAATGTGGCCCCTAGTTTTAAAAATTTAGTAATAAAGTTTACCTAAAATAACTAAAATCATAATAAAGAATATGATAATTCTAGAGTACACACAAATTTGTATGGAATTATTCGAACTATTGTGTAATTATTTTAAAATTACCAAATTATTTTCCAAGCAGTAGGAATTACGGAAATTACTCAGAAATTACCCACAACTATTTTTATTACATTGAAATTACTGAGTAATTTAAAATGGTAATTTTTGATTACCGACCACCTAACAAGCTTGGTAGAAACCCCTCGGATTTGAAGATGCCATTTTCATTTTATTTAGGCGTAAACTCCCAGTAGGGACGCAATACTAGGTGGGGTGAAAAGTAACCTTCTTTGAGAATGATTTTTTTTTTATGTTTTATTTTATTTTATTTAATGTCCCCTTTTAGCTCGATACACTTATTCCAGCAAATTTTCCAACTTCATGATCCCATCCTAAAAGTAATTCAGTGCCAACATTTCAAAGGGGAGTAATTGCTTTTGTAAACAATGACTTCAGCCGTCAATTTCTCGCGAATGAGATCTCACCTCTCCAAAATTACAATGCTAACTGGTAGAAGAAACATTCCTCTACCTGCTGGTGTCATTATTTTTCATGAGTGAGCTTTTATTCGCGAGAAACCGACGGCTAAAGCCATTGTTTACAAATGCAATTACGCCCCTTTGAAATGTTGGCACTGAATTTTCCGGAGAGTCTGCAAAATACTCCTCCTCGATGATTTCCTCACGTGAACTGAATTTTTTTATTGATGAGCCATCTTTTGAGGTTTGGGAAGAGATAGTAGTCTGAATGAGCCAAATCGGGCGAATACGGTGGATGCGGATGCAATTGGAGCAGTAAGTCATTGATTTTAGCCGTGGTTGCGATGCTCTTGTGCGCCGGTGCCTTGCAAAAACAACATTTTTTTCGCTTCATGTGAGGCCGTTTTGCAGCGATTTCGGCCTTCAATCACTCCAATAATGCACAGTAATACTCGCTGTTGATGGTTCTTCTTTTTTCGACAGTCCCAGAAAACCGATGCCATAACCTTTCCGACCCATCTAGCCTCCCTCGGTCGCTTCGGAGCACTCGTGCCGGCTTCAGTCCGTTGCCGGGCACTCATTCTGTTCTCTGGGGTGTATTAGTGGATCCAAGTTTCATCAACAGTTACCAATCGACGAAAAAAGTTTGCCCGATTCCGCATCAGCCAAGGTTGCAAATACTCATTTCAGCTAAAATAATGTTTTTCGGAATAATAAAACCAAAAGATGGTATGATGGCATGTTTTACTTGTAACTTACAAGAAGAGGTTACAAAGTATGCGTTTGAAACATAAAACCTGTAAATTTTGCTTTCTATGAGTCACAATCAGCGATTTTCTGATCGCTAACATAATAGACGGGAATTCTGCCGAGATCTCTGCTGACAACATAAATTTTGCTAAATCTCGGCAAGTGTTTCGCTGAGATCCAGCAAAATAAAATACCGAGCTGCTCGGCGGTGCCTATCTCGGCAAAAAATCTAAGTGTGTATATATCAGGGTATAGAGTAATTTGGGGCAAAAGTACGCACTTAACTTTTTTAGTAAGTTAACTATTGAACGAAAGGCAAATACCATGCGACAAAGTTACCACGTATTGCCTTAATGTCTTACCTTTCAAACGTAGTACTGGAAATTACCAAAATATTTGTGTAATATGAGAACTGAAACAGTTTTTAAAAATAGTCAAATGAGTAAATTTGTCCCTACGGGGCAAAAGTACGCATTGTACGGGGCAAAAGTACGCATTGAACAAATAATGTATTTGTCGCAAATAATGGTTGTAACAAATAGTTTCTTGAGTACTGTACCTCCCCTCTGGTCAACCAGGATTAGGGAGCATCCAAAAACTACGTTTTATTTTTAGAGGCAGAAGCGTGAGGGAGGGAGGGTGATGAGAGTTGTAGTTTGTTGGTTTCCATAAAGGTTCATATAAAACATATTAAGGTTCCATGCAAAACGGGTAATGCCATCCCGGACTCTTTGCTGAGCTGTTTCGAGCATCTGGGATGTGCATTTCTGCCGACTGGTTTTGCGCTTGTAGTTCCTGTACGAAAACATAACCATTTCAATGCGACATCCTGTGCGTACTTTTGCCCCGCGCCTGCTGCGTACTTTTGCCCCACATGCAGTTTTATCAAGGATTCGATTTATTACAAAACTTATGAAACTGTTTGAACGGAATGACTGCACCTCGCACCTCATAGAGTAAAGATATCACTAGTTTACAAAACAACATAAAAAGTGTGAACTTTAGTGGTTGACCAACGTTTCTAATGCAAAATCCTACGCTGAATTCAATGCCGTGGTCAGAAAAAATTAAAGTAGAGCCATTTTTAAGATACACAAAAATTTTGATTTTTTGAATTTTGGACAAAAGTACGATAACTAAAATGTCAATATCTTTGGAACTAGTGCACCAATTTTAAATCTTTTTTTATGAAAATGAAGCTTAGTAAATTTGCTATCGTTCACTGGAATATTATGTCTTAATTAAAAATTTAATTTTGAAGTCATTTAAAAATTTACAGCATTTTTTTTTATTTTTCCTGCAAATTTTCCATAAAAATCTTGTTTTAATCAACATTTTTAATGGGATAAAAAGATTCAAAAAATCATTCCATAATTTATTCTTAAAGTCCATTCAAAACTGGAGAAAATGAGCCTTTAATGGATGAAATCGGTTGGAAATTGTCGAAGTTATGAAATTTTTTGTAAAATCATGGAAATTGAATGTTCCAAGATTGGCCGT